AAAAGAGAAAGGTGTACATACTGCGTATGGACTCAAACAAGATCCAAGAGCTTGGAATAAGAATATTGATAGTTTCCTAAGGGAGAAGGAATTTGTGAAGTGCACAACTGAGTATGGAGTATATGTAAGAAGAAGCAAGAGTGAATTGCTTATACTATGTCTCTATGTCGATGACTTTTTAATAACAGGTAGCTACAAGAAAGAGATCGAAGACTTCAAAGGTGATCTCAGCAAGGAATTAGAAATGTCAGATCTGAGAGACATTTCATATTTCCTTGGCATCAAATTCTACAAGAGCGGTAGAGGTTTGATGATGCATCAAAGCAGATATGCAGGAGAAATTCTCAAGAGACTTGAGATGAAAGAATGCAACTCAACTTCAACACCTGATGAACCAAGGTTGCAACTGTCGAAAGAATCAGATGAAGATGATGTCAACCCAACCCAATACATAAGACTTATTGGATCACTAAGATATCATTGTCACACAAGGCCTGATCTAGCATACAATGTAGGTATGGTGAGTAGATTCATGCAGAAGCCAAAGGTATCACATCTAGCAGCAACGAAGAGGATACTAAGGTATCTAAAAGGAACTCTCGACTATGGAATTTTGTTTCTTGCAAGTGATAAAGGAAAAGAATGCAAGTTAGTGGGATACACTGACTCAAGTTTGATGTAGTGATGATGAAGATCGAAAGTTCACAGTGGGTTTTTTGTTTATACTAGATGGTGTACCAGTTGCTTGGAGTTCGAGAAAAGAACCAGTGGTGGCATTATCATCGTGTAAAGTATAGTACATAACTGTTTCTCTTTGTGCATGTCAAGCAACATGGATGGTGAATTTGGTCGAAGAGATAACGGGGAAAGATCATGGAGCAATTACCATGAAGATTGTTAGCGTGCCAGCTATCAATCTGGCGAAGAACCCGATAATACATGTTCGAAGCAAGCACATCGAAATGAGATTCTATTATCTTCGAGAGCAGATAGAAAAAGGAAAGATGAACATGGAACACTGCAGAATTGAGAATCAGATTGCAGACATCATGACGAAGGGTGTGCATGTCAAAGTGCTCAGAAGACTAAGAGCTATGATGAATATGGATAGCTTAGACACAATGAATTAGGTGGTGTGTTTATAATGTAATTCCTTGTGTCGAAAGCAGCATGTTGCTCGACACAAGGTGTGTCGAAATAAGCTTAGTCCGTTGAGTTATATGTCGAAGTGTCGAAGCAGGTTGCTTCCCACAGTATTTTGACTTAGATCCAAAATAGGTATTTTGTGCTTTTGTATTTTGGACTTTAGCCTAGGGAGAAAGCTAATTTAAAATTATAAATAGAGGGAGTAACCTCTATTATTATACACAACTTGAATTCACAGAATTTTGCAGTTGCAAAGTGAATAAATATTTTCTATAGTTTGTTGACATATAGTTACTCTACAGAAAATAATCTTCTTCTTTCTCTTATTTTCGTAAATCCTAATTTTCTTTCTTAATTTTTCATTATTATTGTATATCGATAACAATCTTGTTCAACAAAATTAATAAAATTCTCAATAGACTTTGGTAAATTTCCAAAAAAAAAAAGAATAATAAACTTGTTTGATAGTTTTATTTTTAAAACATGGTTTGTTAACCTGAATTTTTTTCTTTTCACTTGATACATAAAAAATAGATTTTTTTGTAGAAAACAAATTAAACATTCCTATACAAAACCATATTGAAACTCTTACTTATACCGTTAAATTTTAAATAAAACATAGACTTTAATTTAATTGACAAATATATTAAATAAATTGTGATAATTTTATAGTTTAATGAATAAAAACTTAATATATTTGATTATAATATTTACAAGGATTAAATTTGTTTGGACACTTCTTATTATTAAAATTTGAGTTGAAAACTAAATTAAAAATATTTCTAAAAAATAAAATTATATTAATTTAATAAATATTTGAAGGGAAAATTAATGTTAACTCAGTTATTATATTTTATTAAAAAACAGAAATTCATAACGTAAATGGAGTTACATGCTTATAAGTAAGAAATTATGTATTTAAGTAATGATTAAATGAAATTAATTGATAGTAAGTGGATTAATTTTATTTATTTATTCTAAATAAGTTGAATGATATTTTTAATTTATCAAACATTTAAAACTTAAATTTAAATTAATTGATGTGATACATACTTTTAGTGTGTATTGATGAATGGAGTAGGGGTTTGGAGTCAAGGTTGCTACATAGCAGATGTGATTTGGAATATTAAAGTTTTAGTGTTGAAGGTTTTTTGTTGGAGATATCATTTATATCAAATGTAATTTTTATAAATTTTGTAAAGATGTTTGCTTTATTTACCTTCTTGAATTTTAACTCGACTTTTACAAATGGCTAAGAGTATCCCTAGTATTCTTATTAATCTATTTTTGTTTTAAAAATGTGTGTAGTGATGAACAATAATCAGCAGCGGCACGTTTTGGTGTGTATTGATGAACGACAAACGAGCTGTAAAAATTTACAAGATTATCGTTAATAAAAGGATTAAATATGTTACAGGTGCCTGTAAATAAATTAAAATTCGATTTTAGTCCCTGAAATATTTTTGTTCAAAGAATCGTCTTTTTAAAGTTTTTCGTTCTTATTTTTCATCCATGTTGTCAATTTCATTTAACGGACACTGACGTGGGCGATGAGTTGATTTTTTTTTTTTAATTTTAATGATCATGTATTAATTTTCACCTGTGCATTCCAATTACAAGTCAATAATCTCCTCTTTTGGTTATGTATTAATTTCCCATTTTGGTACCAGATACTTACTTCCTTCATCTCTGTTATTTTTCTTGCCCTAATTCCTCTTCGTCTTCTCCATTTTTCTTTGCAATCTGAATTGAAGATTTCATCCCGCAAATCAAAATTGTCATCATCTAAGGAAGATTGATGTCGTATTCCATAACGGGTGCTTCAAAACCCATGAGCAATTCGTCGTCTTCTATGAGATGCAGACGAGGAAGGAAGTGTGGCTGTGAAGCTCGTATGGTTTCATACGTATGCAAAAATGGTCGAAATAAAGGTAGGCTCTTCTTGAGATGTCCATTTTGGTAGAGTGAAGAAAATTGAGATTTATTCGTATGGGATGAAGATTTGGTTGAAGATGACGATATTGGTGTTGAACATGTATATGTGAACAAGCTAAAGGAATTGGAGACAGTTAAATTGGTGAAAGAGTTGTATGAAGCTTCCAAGAAGAAGAACATGAAGTTGCAAGCCAAATTGATATCAGAGGCATGGACTGGAAAAATCAAGTTTATATATTTTTTAGTTTCTCTTGTGGTTAATGTGTACCTACTAAGGAAATGTAATTGTTGAAGTCAGTTGGTATGAGCAATGTAATCCATGTGTTTCTAATATTTCTGATGAGTACGATTGTATGAGTAGGTTTGTAATTATTAATTGTTGAAGTAAGTATGTTTGAGCAATGTAATTGTTGAAGTAAGTTTCTATGAACAATGTAATCCTTGTGTTTGACAGGTTGTTGGTTTATTATTGACATAAAAGTTCTTTAAATCTGATTAATTTTGGACATAGTTTGGCATAGTTTACATAAAGTAAGTTTTCTAATTTATCATAAAGTCACTTATAAAATTGGGCATAGTTTGCCTCAAGTTGTCATTCTTTGGCATAATTATAGAACAGTGACATTGACATTATAGTAATGTTAATTTGAAAGTCAACAATTTGAGCGTAAAATGACATGATAGCTTTATCATTAAAGTAGCATATTCAAACATATCCATTATGTGGTAACTTAATACATTAGCAAATTACAAGTAACTACTCAAAGTTTGTAGCATAACAAAATTAATACATAGATTGCAACTTAATATCAGCAAATTATACATAGTCTGCAACTGAGAAATACAACAAAAAGTTCAAAATAGATATGTTCCATCCTCATTGAGTCAATCTTTTTTGAATGTCGTCCCAACTTTTCATACCCTTCTTGATTAGCTGCTCTGAGGTATCCTCTTCAACGAGTAAACAACTGGTTCTTTAGGGTGTCTTCCAGGTCCCTTGATGTTTTTAGTTTTTACAATCTTGAGTCTCTCACTCTCTCTGGTATGCACCTCGGCAGTTGGGACATATTTCACCTCAACAGTTGGGACATGTTTCTTCCTTGCATTGATCATAGCATTGACCTAAATTATCAATTAAGAGCCATAGTCAATACTTGAATAAGATTGAAAAATAAAACTATGTAACAGGCTATAACCAAACTTACTGGATCACTGAAAGCTGGTTTGACATCTCCATAACATTTCATGACTTTTGGTGCAGACCCAAAAAATATTCTTGGAGCAGATTTCTTTGAAGGGATTTTGTTTACTGCAGCCTAATTTTTTATAGGACTTATGTCAACATTGGGGGTGGAATGTCAAGAACATTCTCCTCCTCGTTGTTGATATCATTGAGAATTGTCTCAAGTAAATCTGGATCTATTTCATCAAGATATCTCGTTCTATCTGGGTTTGGTTCTTTATTGGCTAGAGGTGATTCGCCAGTTTGCATGTTATCCTTCACAGGTTCACCACTATTAACTTCAGGTTGAACCGGATCAGTAGTTTGCACTGTAGGATGAATAGGTTCACCACTATTAACTTCATCTTGATCAGGTGCAGCAGTTTGCATTGTAGCTTGTAAGGTGCTCAGTATGCGCTGATGCCTGAGTATGCACTAACCTTTTTTGCCTTTGGTTTTTGAACATTTCCAGCCTGATTTGCCTATGTGGGTATTGCAGTTGTGGTGACATTTTGGTTACTATGTAGAACAATTTATTTGTTCTTCTTACCAATTTTAGTGTTGTGACCATATTTCATACATGTCTTGCACCTATGAGTAGTGTAAGATCTTTTCCACTTGATTGCATTTGATTCATCAAGTTTCCTTCTAAGTTTTTTTGGTCTACCATGGCCTCTTTTTGAACATAGCAGGGAAAATGATAGGATCAGTAGCTTTGGGCCACTTGTTTTGGCCATTCAGATGGGTCATAAAACAAGGTTTCATAGCCTCGATAAAGCCTACAACATCTGCACCATCTGCAGTAGGTTGGTTTATGGGCTGACCTCCTAAAGCCTCTTTGAAACCCCCATCAAATGCATTCACCTTTTCTTTTTCACTGTCCTCAAACTTAATATCCTTCACAGACTCATCACTTGAACCCTCATCACTTGAACCTTCACAAACTTACATTCTCCATAAGTGTTGCATCCCGTGTACTTGGTTTGGGCTCGGCATATATTCCAATATCACTTGTTAGAATGGTATAAACAAAGGCAACTAACTCAAATGCATCATCGTTATCATTAAATAATTTTAGGTCAGGTTTCATACTTCCATCACCATGTTTCCACCACAATTTTTGTAATCAAACCCATGATCCATTTCCTTAATTAAATCACAAACATCAAAAAATGACCAAGAATTAGAGTCTTGACCATTAAAAGCATAAACTCTACCACCTAGGTTAAAATTGAATCTTTTACAAAATGGCCTTTTGTATAAAATATTACTTTAAATAAAGTCATTCCTTAAAAATAGAGTGAAAAGGCTAGTAAACATTAGATTCACAGATAACAATTGAATATGAAAAACCATACCGAATCAATTTTAGTTTTTAAAATGTTATACAAATTTTTCAATTTTAATTTTTAAAATCTGTTTTTCAAATTTATTTTTGAGAGAAAAAAACAAATTAAAAGATTTCATTAATTAATTCAATTTGTGAAATTTTTTTAAAAATTATAAAGTAAAAAAATTTGTTTGACAAAATAAATTGCAAAAACGAAACTATTTTTTAAAATAGAATAAAATAGCTTATATATTTAATAATAAAGTATACAATTCACTAAGTGGGATGCATAAAAATTTAACTATGTTGGCTTGAAATTTTATATATATATTTTTTCTTTGTTATATAATAAAAAATAATTAAAACCAACACTTAAATTTAATTTTTATAAATCCCACAAAATAAACTATATATTTAACTATTAACTGAAATTTTATATTTACAAAAAATATATAACAATTACTTATATTTATTATCATCTAATATAGCAAAACAAATTTTAAAAAAATAGATTATCAAAAAAGCTATTTTATTCTATTTTAAAAAACCGTTTTTACAAATTCGTGTTTTTAATTTTTAAAATAGTTTTCAAAAATGGAATTACCAGATGAATTATTTTTTTCTCAATAACGGATTTGTAAAATAAATTTGTAAAAAAAAATCAAATATGCCAATTTGATAGTTTTTTTAGGGTATAATATATTTTTAATCTTCATAAAATTATCAAAAATGATTTTTAGTCCCTATAATTAAAAGTTAAATTTTAGTTTCTATAAAATTATTTTTTTACATCATATATAAAAGTTAATTTTTTTATAAAAAAGGTCAAACATTCCTATACAAAGTATATTAAAACTGTATGTTATATCATTAAATTTTAAATAAATATAAGGTTTTTTATAATTTCATTTACAAATAAATTGTGATAATTTATGGTTTCATAAATAAAAACTTAATGTATTTAAAAAATATAGGGCTTAAAATTGTTTGGAAAAATTATTATTATTAAAAATTGAGTAAAATATAAATTCTAAATAATATTTTACAAAGATTTTTTAGGCCTTTGACACTAATCTTTCTTTTATCTCTTTCTTTCTATTTTTCAAGTATGTGTTAAGAATTAGTTTCGTAAGCTTATTTAATTAAACAAAATACAATTTTCAAAACTAATATAAACCTGAAAATTATAAAAAAAACTAAAAACAAATCAAATGGAGTATTTAAAAATAATTCAGTCCCTTAGATGTTCATTAATGATTGCGATCATGTCCGCAAATCATTACAGGTCTGTAGGCTCATCACAATTATTACAAAAGTGTAACCAATAATTAAAAAAATGGAAGAATTTAAAAGGAATGATGTTGTCAGAAATTTGTGTTGTAATCTCATATATGAAAATATCAATGGGAATCCGATTGATTTTTTTCATCATTCAACATCAATTACACGAAAACATATCAAAGTAATTTATGAATTAACAAATAGCAAACGATTGAATATAAAAAAATTAAAAAAAAAAACAATTGAAACATAGATAGATAGGAAATAGTGATTGTGGTGAGATGAGAGTGTGTTGATTATTTTTAAAACAAATGAAAGAAGAATGAAAAAACTGCATACAATGAGAATGAAGCTGCGGATGGAGTAGGGTTTGCGGTTGAAGGCTACACTTGGGGACACTTTTATATACAAACCGTTGGTTAATGGACCTGGTTTTTCTGATCATGGGCCTGGTTTTTTTTTATGGGTAATATATAGGCTATTTTTTATTTCACCCTATATTTTTCTAGACACCACACGAAATTTTAAAAATGTCTATAAAAATTAGAAATATATTTTCGATTCGCATTTATGTTAGACATGAATTACGTTGGAAGAGTTGGGTACTAACCGAAAATATAACTACGCTTTAGAACCGTAAATATATTTCTGGTTTGTGGACTAACTAAAAGGCGTGTTGCCTCTTCCCCTTCCATTACAGTGTCATTTTCAAAATAAAAAACACAAAACACATCAAAACTCTTTCAATTTCATTTTCACCAAATCAACCACATTTACAATCCAAGTTGTTAGAAATCATCAAGCATCAGTCTCTCAGACATCCAACCACGATCAATTAAGGAAAATTAACCATAATCAAGTAAGTTGTTTTTGAACTTTTTAGAGTTTATGTAAAATCCACCCAAATGTGTGATTTAGGTTAGAAATTGGGATTTTGTAGTTTGTTATCAATATTAGGAATCATTAGAAAGGCGTTGACAATGTCATTTTCATGATCAATGAGTTTTTGGTGAGCTCATTTAGGGGACAGAGAAGCCATTAACATAGCTCTGTAATCGCAACATGAACCAGAAATGCATTTCTGGTTTTAGCAAGAACAAAATCACAAGTGTATTTTCGATTTTAGTCTGTATGTGTTTTCAGCTTTGTTTTGAACATTGTCCTTAAGTTAACATTTTTTACATACTTCTACATAAGCACAAACTGAGAGACCGTCTTGATTGAGGCTCGGCAGGGTTGTACAACATGCCTATGTGTAGAGAGAAAGAAGTAAGGCAACCCAGCCTCCTCCTGCCTATGGATAGGTTGTACCAGATGCACCTCCTATAGCTTCAGTCTTTGGTGTCCATGCTTTTACTCCTATTACGTTGTCTATGGGGGTGTTTGGTTAAATGTGTAGAAACATAGGAGTGTGTGGAATAATATGAATTACTATTATTATTATTATTGGGTTAGTTATATTATTATTAGACTATATTAGAGTGAGAAGAAGGAAAATAGAAGAAAAGCATAGAAAGTAGAAAAGGAGAGAAGCACTAGGAAGCTAGGACAAGGATAGAAATCAAGAATCAACCAAAATCTAAGCTATGACAAGGATTTTCACGTTCTCTCTCTTCCTCTTCCTCTTCCTTTTTTCTTCTATTACTTATTTCTTCCTGTTCTGCTTTCTTCTCTCTTCATCCTCTTCTTTCTTCTCTTTTACTTTGCCTCGCTCTTTCTCTTCTTTCTTCTCTCTTCCTTTTCTTAAACATTGACTAGAGTTCTACAAAGATTTTAAGAAATTTAAGGTAATATCGAGCTTGAAGTGAGAAATTGGATGAACAAAATGAATTCATTAATGCTTCTATGGTGCACTTAGGTTTAATTTTATGTCTTTTGATTTTATGGGTTCAGTTTATGCCTTTTGATTTTTTGGATCCAAATTATACCTTTCGATTTTGTGGATTTTGATGAAGAACCGTATTTTTTGAATCTTGTCTTTTGATTTTTAGTTCATTTGTTCTATAACTGCCATAATATATTCTTTTCTTTTTGAGCAATATTTATTGTAACGTTTGCAGATACATTATGAAACTACCGGTCCAGAGACATGGAAAGGCACAAATAAGAAAGTTGAAGCATTTGTTTATGGGGTGGGTACAGGTGGAACTATAATAGAGACTGGGAAAACATCTCAAGGAGCGAAATTCCAATATAAATGCTTGTTTTCCTCTCTAAATATATGTTTGAATACATTTAGGGATACTTAAGACAAGATTTAATTGAAAAGTGAAATTATCTATAATATACCTCTGTCATTTTGTTTTATGTAGCTGATTGGCGTGGAAGAATCATAGATGTTAGTTATTGTTCCGATTAATGTCATTCATTGTGAAAATCTCATTTTTGTTGTTTATCAAATGTGCTTATTTAAGGTTGCGTTGATGGTTTCATTATCAGGAATTAAGGACCTGCAAGTGACTCTGAAGGAATGTGTTGGAACATTGGGAGAACTGACATTTACCAACAATTCAAGACGGATAGGGATCAGTAAATTCATGCTTGGCATGAAGGTTGCAGCAGATTTTTGAAATGAGGTTTGTGTTTAACTGTTTTTCGTATAACATTAAAATATTTTTTGCAACATTGGGTTTGTTGGAACCTTTTATCCAACAGAATACGATCTTCCATCAACACAACAATTATATCTCAATGCAGTTAAAGTTATTTTATAACTTATGAATATTTGTGCATATTCATGTCATAAATGATTCCAATTGATCGTTAATTATGTAATTTTTCCATCTCAGATTAAATATGAGTATTCTCTGCTGCTATATTAGTATGGCTAACCAACGGTGTTTCGGTTTCACGGAATGGTATTCGCATATTGTGTTAATTAGTTTTATTAGTTATTCAGATTTTGCGGTTATTGTTTGTGGTTGAATCTTGCCCAATTAGATTCAGTATGATTTATTGTGTTTCTGCAGTATATACTTTTCTGATTTTTCTGCAGTGTACCTCTTTTCTCATTATATTGGTAGTTAGAGAGGAAACCAGTCTATTCTCATCACAATTGACTGAAATCAAAATCAACAAATTCACTATAGTGTAGACTATTCCTCGCAAGAATCATATGTTACTTTGGCAAGTGAGATCTTTGGCAATGACATCGATATGGTCCTATAAGATTTTTTAGGAAATCCAAAGCAAAAAACAATAAAATCTATGAATAGAAAAAATAAATATTAATCGAACAACCCATTTAATTTAACATATCGACCTGGAAAAAATGTCTTAAATTTGAGCTATTGTATCAAGTAAATTGTTGTCAAATAAGAACACTCTCCGGTATAAATACATAATAAATCTATTGCTCTTTGGTTAGAACCAAATAAATCATTAATTTCAACAAAAAACAATAACTTATTGGCTGCAACAAAAAAAAAAAGAAACAGATACAAGAGAATAAGGATTTGGGAAAGCAATATTAAATTAGAAAAAAATCAATATTAAATTTGATAACAATTTTCATCGTAACAACATAAACAAATAACATAAAATTGAAAAATTGCAAATATTAAATACAGATGGAGTATTAAAATTAATTCAGTCCCTTAGATGTTCATAAATGATTGCGATCATATCCACAAATCTTTACAGGTCTGTAGGCTCATCACAATTATACTCCAAAAGTTTCTAATAAATAGAATCATAATAGTCAAATACAAAACAAAAATTCATCAAATAAAAAAAAATAGGAGCCTCAGAGATCTTGGTGGATAAATTTCATCAAGTGGATGTTTTTCCATCAAGAGTAGCAAATATTAATAACATCACAGGTCCAAAATCAATCTTTGATTAAAAGAAAACAAAGTTTATAATTAAAAGCAGAGATAATAAAAAGGAGTGATGTTGTCAGAAGTTTGTGGTTGTAATCTCATATATGAAAATATCAATGGGAATCCGATTGATTTTTTTTCATCATTCAACATCATAAACATTAAACCATGCATCAACAAATAGCACAGATTGATAAAAACTGTGTATTTTTTTCTTAAAAAATTTGAAAGAAGAATAAAAAAACTGCATAAAGAGAGTGAAGCTGCGGATGGAGTAGGGTTTGCAGTTGTTGGCTTCACTTGGGGAGACTTTTATATACAAACTCTTGGGTTTTTTTTAATCATGGGCCTGGTTTTTTTAATCATGGGCCGGTTTTTTTATGAGCTTTTGGAGAGAATTATGCCTCACTGTGCAACTTATACCTAGCACCCCTACTTTACATAATTTCATAATATCGGTAATATTTCTTTTGTAATTTACTTTTTCTCAATTTTTACAATTTTTTGAAGAAAAAAATTACTTGTAAAAAAATATTTAAAAAACTGGTTGTTTAAAGAAAAAATCTGGTAAGAATAAGTATAGATTTAAAGAGACTGACATAAATTAAAAACCGGATGTAATTTTATATTGGATTGATTGAAAAAACTTATATGTGTTTTGTTCATATTGGATTTTGTGAAAAATCCGATGCATCAAAAATTTGTCCATACTCTAAAAAATCTGGTGATCTTGTATAGCTTGTTTTCCTACTCAAAATGAATCTGGTGGCTAATTTGTTGGATAGTTTGCCAACATATTATACACAATTTTTCAGACTGGTTTTGTGTGTGATACTTATATGTTTTATCTCAACTTTTGCACCAACATTTTTATTGAATTATGAAATCTATGATTAATTTATTTTCTGTTTTAATAAATAGATATTTTTCTCCTAGACCGAAGTATTATCATGGGCATAATCCTTATAAGGCAACATGGTATTATAGTGGTCACTATTCGTTCTAATACATCAAATGAACAAAGAGGTTGAATGGATAAATTGACTATGATTTATGAAACAGGAGAAAATTAAAACAACAAAAGAAAATTGCAAATTACTTGTAGTGAAAGATTTTGAGCACTTGCAAGGTCTTAAAACATCTTCATTTTGTCCATAATATGTGCAAAAAACAATCTTCAACTTTCTCTCCCTTAACAAGTTACTTAGGAAGTAAAAGAAGAGAAGGTAGATATGGTTGTTCCACCACGTCAAACGATGGGGGACTATTGCAGCAGGACCGATTCAGGGAAAATATGTTTAGGATTCCAACTAGTTAATCATGTAACCTTTGACGTTAAAATTTTGTATTTACATATTTGAAGGAGAACTCATTCGATGGAAAAGCAATCAGAGATCTTTGGGAGGATCTCGCTAAATTCTACGAGACTTGCTCTATGTGTAACTTGTCTGGTGACATATTCAACGATCAGGTAAAATTACATTTGATTGGCTTTTCCTTGATAGGTCACGCAAAGAATTGGTTGCAATGCATTCTAAATGACACTATTTAGACTTTGAAAGAGTTATAGGACAAGTTCCTAAAGCAGTATTGCTCAAATGCTCAGTTCATGGAAAGAAAAGTTGCAATTACTAGCTTTGCTCAGAATCATTGTATGATGCATGTGAAATGTTCAACTTACTACTCTGAATGTGTTCAAATCATAACATGAGTGCTATAGAACATATGACACACTTCATTGATAGGTTGAGAACACAATCGAGAGTGTAATTTTATGCCTCGGCTGGAGGTACATTAAGATTAAAGACTGATGAAGAGTTAAAAACTTTGATTGAGATTATATGTCAGAATGTGTGCCTCTCAAGTGAGCGAGTTGTGAAACAAAAAGGTAATCATACAGTTGATTTGACTAGAACTTTATCAGCTCAGATAAAAGCACTTACTAAATAGTTAGCCGCAACACAAATAACCCAAACAAATGTTAGCCAAATTCAGACGCTTCGTTGAGATTTTTGTGGAGGAGAACATGCAAATGGTAACTGTGCAATAGAGTGTGAAAGTGTTGAAGTTTAGTATGCTAATTTTCAAAAGAACAATCTATATTCTAACACCTATAATCTGGGTTGGGAAGATCATCCAAATTTCAAATGGAATAGAATCAGACTTTGAATGCTAACCAAGGTGTTCAAAAAGATCCTAAAGTACCTTAACGCAAATCGTCGCCTCTTAAAGAGACAATTTTGAATTTCATGAAGGCTATTTAAGCAGCTTCGAGCAAGTAATCAAGGCTCGGGATAACATCGTTAAGACTCAGCAAGAGATGGCACAAAGTTAGATCCTAATGAACAAGAACACTAAAGCATCCATAAAGAACTTAGATATGAAAATCAGTCAATTGTCTAGTAAAATGGCACCTTAAGCTAGTTCAAGCGGGGGGTTTATAGGTAATATTGTAGATAAATCGGAAAATAAAACGTTCAAATCCATAGAGTTGAGAAATAGAGTGGTGCTTCCTGGACCAATCATTAGTAATAAGCATAAATAATCGAGTGAAGTTGAGAACAAGAAAGGAAAATAAATGGTAGTTGGAAGAAGGTTGAGAAAAAATATGAGGGAGAAAAAAGTGAGCATGAGAGTTATGAGGAAGTTAAAGAGTGTTAATTCTCTATTTTTGGATTGACATTATGGCTGGTAAAACTGATATAGCAACAATGTGTTAAATAAGATTTTCTAACTTGTAGGAGAAAGCAGGTTGAAGTTCTATTTTATGAAGAATATGTTGAGTTGAAATGTTTCAACAACTAGAGCAACATGTTCGACAAGATGTCCTATGCAGGGCCAACCGACATCGCGCCTATACTGGGCTAGACAATTAGATAAGTTCAAATTTAATAGATGCAGAATATTCTGAGAATATTATGCTATCATATGTGACGTTGTTTTATAAGTCTGAAAGATTCAAGTCAGAATCAAGAACAATATTGAAGAATATTGACTTTCTAATTATTGAGATAAATTAGGATAGATTTACTTAAAGACCTATTTTGTAGCAGAAGTTCCTGTTGATTTGTAGCAGCTAATATGCTGTGATTTAAAGCCCAAATCCAGTTGGGAAAGGTTATAAATAGAAGCATTATAACCTAGAAGAATGTACCAATCGTGAATGAAAAGATGTAGTTATTATGGATGATTTTGTACCACTCTCTAGAAGAGTTGGTTGTGTGATCCACGAGTTTTGAGTTGGACTGTGTTATAGAGTTGTAATGTCTCTATTATTTTTCTCCTCGAAGTTGTGAAGTAAGAGTGAGTATTATTCTCGGAGGAAGATTTTAAGCAACTCCAAGTTATGTTCTTAGTCAAGAGTTTTGGCTAGGTATTGTCATGGAAGTGTGTCTCCTAGTTTTTCGTCATGGAAGTATGTCTTCCTGTTTTTATCCAATCGTTGTCTGTGATTAATGAGGGCCTCATATCTAGGTGAGTCTTAGATAGAAAGTTAGCACTGATAGTGATTAAGTGAGAAGCTGTAAACGGAGGAGTTTAGCTTCGAATTGATACTATTATAGTGGATTTTTACTGCTTTTAATTATTGCTATATTGTTTTGCTAGTAATTAGGGTTTGCATGGCAAGACATAAAAACA